ATATATATATGTATATATATATATGTATATATATATATATATATATATATATATATATATATGCATGTGTCTATTAGAGTGTGTGTTTTGTTTTACTGTCTTTTGTGTTGTTTATAGGAGATGTAGGGAGTTCGTTGCTGCTGGCTCTTGAGGGGGGCCCCCCAGGGGCCCCCGGGGGCCCCCCGGGGGCCCCAGTACCCTCGCTTGGGGGCCCCCCAAAGATATCTTCATCTGCATCAGAATCAGGCAGCTGCAGGGGGTGTATATTTCTATGGTTGTGCTGCGCATCGTCTACAGAGGGGCCCTCTTCTTCCTGCTGCTGCTGCTGCTGCTGCTGCTGCTGCTGCTGCTGCTGCTGCTGCTGCTGGGGGTCCTCTGCGAGGCTCTGTATACTATTGAATAGACGAGCAAAGAAAGGGAGAGAAGATTGACGCCGCTGCTGCATGCATGCGTTTGGGGCTGCATGCGCTTCTGTGTCTCCGTTTGTTGTATCTCTAAATATATAAGAAGGTAAGGATGCATATGATTGTCTCCTTTGTTCTGCTGCTGCTGCTGCTGCTGCTGCTGCTGCTGCTGCTGCTGCTGCTCTTGCTTGCTGCTTGTTTGCTGCCTCTTCGTCAAATACATAGGGGGGGAGAACAGTGGTGGGGCGGCGCTGCTGCTGCTGCTGCTGCTGCTGCTGCTGCTGCTGCTGCTGTCTTTGTTGTCTTTTTTCTTCTGCTGCAACACTAAACATATGTGGGGGGATGGTTGTTGTTTGTCTCCTTTCTTTATTTTCTTTTTCTTTTTCTCTTTCTGCTGCTTTTTGCATGCATGCGGGATCAAAGACATACCAGGGCAAAGCTATTGTCTCTCTCCTTCTCCCTGCGTCTCCCCCTGCTGCTGCTGCTGCTGCTGCTGCTGCTGCTGCGTCAGGCTCAGCAGCAGCAGCAGCAGCAGCAGCAGCAGCAGCAGGCAGCAACTGCACCGGCACCAATACTGTTCTATTTTGTGCTGTCTCCGGTATCTGCATGTATAGATAGGGGGGGATGAGCTGCGTGTCGCGGTGTCTATACACCCCAAACATATCTGCTTCTTTATCTTCTCTGCTGCTGCATGCAGCAGCACCAGCTGCTGCTGCTGCTGCTGCTGCTGCTGCTGCTGCTGCAGGACGCGGAGACTTGGTAGGTACCTTTGGCCTGGAGGAGACAAATAAATAAAACACACAAAAGGAGACACATTAATTTACATAAATATAAGAGATATATATATATAAATTAATATAAAAGAGACAAAAGGAGACAAATATATATAAATAAATAAAAGAGACAAAAAGAGACAAATATATATAAATAAATATAAAACAGACAAAAGCAAACAAATATAT